TATGAAACATACTCAATCAAGGAACGGGTCACAGCCCAACAACATCAACGAGACAACGATGAATAACACAAGTTATCATCAACCAAACGGAAGGTACAAACAACACACACGCTAGCATTAAGACAACAAACTAGCATGCTTATCAACGGGGAAACTCATGGTAGTTCCGAGGAACACACAAGACACCTCTTGGTCCAACGAAACACAATGTTGAACACTTAGCACGATTCAAGACACCAAAGTCCTACATAGATACCTACCATATAGTTCTAGACGTACGAAACATCAAGAAGACACTCAAATAGTTCCACAAAAGAACAACTGGAAGTCAAAAGACCAAATACCGAGTCAAACAAATCACGGGGAACAAATCCCATCACACCACCACTCGTGTACCCACGGGTAGACCCACGGGTAGTGCCCCACCCGTGGTTCCGCCCGCGGGAACACCATCCCACAGGCTATGTACCCGCGGGTAGGCGGCGGGTGGTGCCCCGCCCGCCGTTTCGCCCGCGGGAACATCCCTGTTCCACAATAAATCCCTTCGGGGATTTTCTTCTCCAAACACAAATTCAAGTCCAAATCTCACCAAACACAACAAAATGACTTGAACCATGGAAAATGCCAAGCAATGGCACAAAGGAACCCTAAACACAAGCTCTAGATATGCAATATCACAAGACAAATGCATAAACCCTCACATTTCATAGCAAAACGCATGTAGAATCCAAGAAATCACATATAGGTAAGCAAAATAGGTTTTGTAGAGCATGGGTTACCTCTTGAAGACCAAAAGACTTCACTTTACACAACAACAAGCTCTCCACAAGGCTTACTTTCCAAACCCACTTCAAGATCAAACCAAAATATCATAAAGATCCTACCTTTAAGAAAAAGACAACTAAGATGGAACCAAAAACACAAGATGAACTTAGATCTTACCCTCCTAGATGCCCAAATAGGTGATAGGTTGAATCTTGGAAGCAAATCTTGGAATCTTGACAAGGGTCTTAACTTGGCTTGGAGAATAAGCTATACTTCTTTTCTAGAGAGAAGGTAGAACTAATTTCTAAGAATTGTAGGGAATGAAATGAAGAAGTCTTCTAGGTTAGGTTACAATACTAACTCTTGGTGAAAAGACAAGAATACCCTTACTAACCCTTAAAAAGTGTAAGGAACAAGGGAACTCCCCTCAAAGCACAAGGTACAACACAACTTAAAGGTTGACTAGTCAAATTCTAGTCCTTGAGTATTAAAAATCAGGATTTTAGGAATTAATTCCTCAAATAAAATAGGATTAATTACTCAATTAATCCATGGATTGAATGTGGATTTTTGGGGTGTCACAAGAAAGACTTCTTTGCCCTTACTAAAGTTGGAAGAATAAGGAGACAAGGGAACAACTTATAAGGCATAGAGTACAACTCTTTGACTTGGATTGACTAGTCAATTTCTAGTCCTCTGACTATTGAATTTTCAGGATTTTAGGAATAAATTACCAAATAAACTAGGATTAATTATCTAATTAATCCTTAATTATATTTTGGATTTACGGGGTGTCACAACCATTGTCTTGCATATTCAATATAAAATATATTGTACACCATTTGCATTCCATCTTCACACGTGAACATGCATGCATGAAATCATATTTAACTTTGCCTAAAATAATTGACTAACCCATCTCTTTTAAACATTATTTAAATTCACTTGGGTAGTTCTCTCATACATATATATTCATACACGCAAAGCATTCAATTTAATTTGCATCAATTTGTGTACTGATCGACCCATTTCATCACAGATAAATTCATCTGGGTTTAGTTCTTTCCACGTCCGCATGCAAGCTAAATTTTGAATACATATTATTTGATCTATTTCTAGCATATCCATCATATTGCATGTGATATATCTCTCTGTTTTTACATAACACTTTATTGTTGAATTATTTACTTGGAGTTGAAATTACCAAAGTTTTATTTATTGTGAAAAAGTTTGAATAGTTTATTCACCCCCTCACCCCCCCCCCCCCCTCTAGACTTTTCACCACCCTATCGAGACCAACACACTTGTTACACTAAGGTAATAAAACATCTCGAGTGGCGTGAGGCTATTGACTAGGAATTCAATGTTCTTCTACATAATCAAACGTGGTGTCTTGTACCCTCTGGGGAAGATATGAATGTTATTCTATGTAAATGGGTCTTCCGCGCTAAACGAAAGGCAGCTAATTCTATTGAGAGACACAAGGAAATTAAAGATTAGTAGCAAAAGGATTCAATCAGGTGCCTGGACAGGATTTCTTTAATGTATTCAGCCTAGTGGTAAAACCCACTACTGTCAGGTTGCTTCTTTCCTTAGCTTTATATTCTGGTTGGGTTATCAGGCAACTTGATGTTCATAATGCTTTTCTAAATGGTAATCAGTCTTAAACTGGTTATATTGATGTCTAATATCTCAATCATGTTTACTTGCTTAAACGCTCTTTGTATGGCTTAAAACAGGCTCCTAGAGTTTGGTTTAATCGTTTACAGGTTTTTACTCTCTGTTGGGTTTCAAGCATAAAAAACGGATGTCTTTATTTTACTACTCACAGGACTCCGCTTATGTGTCTTTTTTGGTCTATGTTGATGATATACTTGTGATGGGAAGTGATCAGGATCTTGTGACTCGTTTGATAAGAGAGTTATCTGCTGCATTTAAGATTAGGGATCTTGGTGAACCTGGTTTCTTTCTTATTAAATGTGATGATGGTATTTTACTTTTGCAACATAGGTATATGAATGATATTCTGAAACGTGCTGGAATGGCAGGATGAAAACATTATCTACTCATATCTCTGTTTCAAAATCTATCCCCTTCAGTACAAATCTATATAAGGATCCTACACAGTACAGAAGTCTGGCAAGAGCACTACAGTATCTAACTATCACATGCCTAGATCTATCATTCACAGTCAATCAATTGTGTCAACACATGCATGTTCCTACAATATCACATTGGGAACACCTAAAACGAGTCTTGAGGTATGTTAAGGGAACAGTTAATTTTGACTTGCGTATAAGAAAGTCAGCATCAAGAGAACTCCATGTATTCTCTGATTCTGACTGGGTTGGATGTCTTGAGGGTCGTAAGTCCACGAGTGGTTTTGTTGTGTTTCTTGGATCCAACCTTGTCTCTTGGGTCTATAAGAAACAAAAAACTATTGTTAGATCTTCTACTGAGGCAGAATACAAAGCTCTAGCAGATGTCTGTGCAGAAGTTACGTGGATAGTCTCCTTTTCTGTGTGAGATTAAAGTGTCAAGTATATCTATTCCAAAATTATGGTGTGACAATCTTGGTGCTACTTATATGTGTGCAAATCCCATCTTCCATGCTCGTACCAAACACGTGGAAATTGATTATCACTTCGTTTGAGATAAAATTGCTTCTGGAGACATTCAAGTTAATTTCATCTCTACAAAAGATCAACTTGCATTTTACTAAAGTTTTACCTAGTCCTAGATTTTCTTTTCTTAGAGACAAGCTACATGTTACTAGTATACCATGTGCTTGAGGGGGAGTATTAGGACTAGTATTAGGACTCTTTAATTGGTATTTGTGTCACATTATGACTCTCTATCCTAGTGTTCCTATGATTCTATCTTGTATATATTCCCTCAATCTGTACAGTTGTAATTACTGTTCATCTAATACAATTTATACAGTTTTCATCTCACCGCATGGCTACAAGATACAATTCACAATGGTAGTTCATCCAACTTAGATTTGATGACTCAAGATGTATTCATCTTAAGTGCAATCTAGCAAGGCCGCAACGAACTCTATTGGGAGAACACCCCTTTAAATCCAGTTGCAATGTGGAGTCAATGGAGAGCAACAGAAGCTTAGATCACTAGTTGGCTAGCTGTGATATCCAGAACTATTCGTGACCGGATGGACGCAACCCTCTTTCCTCAATTGTCCAAAGTGACATTCAGAGCAATCCTATTATCTAGAGAAGGAGAGTTCATTGCGACAACAAATGGAGTATTTAGCTGCCCTCAATCCCCCACCTCGGTTGAATCATTGAGTTGCAAACCTAGTTGAAGAACTGGGGAGTTAGAAGTGTTAGGCTCGAACCCGACTGTTTAAACGTTGTTAACGAGCTAAAGAGGAATGTCTAAGGCCAACCTCACACATGCCAAATTATTCACTCTTGTATCACGTTAATGGCGTCCTTTGATTCTGTGTCCTGTGTCTTTATTAGGAGGTTGACAAACCAGATTGCCCATGCACTTGCTAAAGTAGCTAGCAATCAACCCAACTCCCTTTTTGGAATAATTCTCCACCTGATTCTATTCGATCTCTTATTCCCAGTTGTCATAATGTGATAATCATGTCACATTAGGACATTGGACTCTGAATCCAGTTTTCATTAATATATAATTTACCTTTTGGTTGTCAAAAAAAAAAAAAAAAAAGATTATCATAGCAAATTTATGCCCTGTAAGGTTGCGAGGTTGTGTTGCTACGTTATGGCAAATTCTGAGGTCTAACCTCCTATGTTATGGAGAGATTGAGAGGAATGGAATTAAATGAGATTTAGGGGTTTTTCAAACCTTTTTTTTCATATTTGGAATCTAGATTTATAATTTTATATAAATAGTAACAGGTCACAAATGAATTATTACAAATTAAAAAATAAGTCTAATCACTAATAACATGTTTTTGTGTGTGTGTGTGTCTAATTATGTGTTATGTTAATAGATTATTATCAAATTTTTAATTCAATTTTAAAATTTTGAACCAAAATAATACATTGTGATACTTGTTTTCATGATATAAGAATATATACCAAGAAAGAAAAAGTGATGAGTTTGAAACATTTATTCAAACTAAAAAAGAAGAAAATTCAAAATAAAAACAAGGTAATTCAATTTAAAAAAAAAAAAAATCCAAAAACCAGAAATTGATAATGTAAGCTCAATCAATCTTCTTTTTTTTTTTTCTTTTTTAATTTTATGTAATTGTATATATAAATATTATAAAGGATGATTGATTGTACAAAAGCAACTGCCATGTTGATAGTTGTTCAACTATTTGCTTCCAAAGTCGATATTATGTACTCTCCATTCACAACTACTGTTCAACGTCAAAAAAAATTGCTCATCCAAAACCTGCAATGACCCTGGAAAGTCAATAATTTGTTTCAATCAATAACCTGCAGAAACCAGGCTACCAAGTTCAGTCTAATTAGCTCTCTTTGGAAATGCAATGAAATTGAAATGATTAGAGCAGTGATAGTGAAATTAAAACTGTTGAATCGCTCTAATAAACTCTCTTTTCCGTGGTTGATCGCTTCAAACTGCAATCCATCCAAACAATCTTACGGAGAGCAGTTCTAGTGTGCTGGAGAGCAAATACCATTTGGATCAAGCGCTTATTACTGTACCAAAAGCTATCCGTGAACTGGCTCTAATACCACTTGTTAGGATCAAGTGCTTATTACTACCGTCAAAAGTTATTGTTAATAGCGAAGGCACAACTTTATTTCTTTTTACTGCCTTCGAGAGCCAAGGTGTTGGACTTGCCCTTTACCGACTTCGGCCCAACAATTCTCTAGTCACATTGTGCGAGACTGGCAAATTATTGTATGGACCATGGTCCATATAGTACTATATGGACCATAACAAAAAGTACATTTTTATTATATTAAATGTACATTATTTTTGTACTGAATGTACATTATAAAATATAATGTACACTCAGTACACAAATAATGTACATTCCCTGAATACAATGTACATTTTTAATATACTAAAAGTACATTATTTTTGTACTAAATGTATGTTATTTTACAGTATACAAAATATGGTCCACACAATTTGTATAGACCATGGTCCACACAATAATAATTCTGTTAGACTTGGCCCTTACCGACCTCTGCCCAACAAGTACAATTGGAACACCCCAATCTAACAAATCCAGTTCCACCTCTCCCAAGGAGAGCCTTAGTAAAATCAACATATGTATTTGATAGTATTAGGAATTCATTCTATCATTGTGAGGAGAACCTAAACTGCAATAGTACAATACAGAACACACTTCCCATGTCAACCAGACAACAGAAGAAGAGAATATTACCATGTGGAATCAGTCATCTATCCGAGATACTTTAATAAGACGCCGTCATTACCCAGTACAAAACCTTGTTTGTCATTGATAAACCTGCAATGCATAAGTTGATGAAATGATGAGCAGTCCTTTGACCCATAAGCAGCTCAGCGAGATGTTGTTGCATTTAAGTTTAAGTCAGTTTGACGGACAAACAATTTAATTATTTTCAGTTTTTCATCTGCTGCTATGAAAATGAATAGAAATGCAATAAGTTCTTAAAAGTTGAAACAAATGAAATGGGGAATTGAAGGAAGTATAGCAGCAACTGCAGATATATGGATAGGTTAGAAAGCTTCTAAACTTTCCTTCAGAAAGCACATTACAAAATTGAAAGTTTAACGTCATATCTATTGAAAACCTAGCAGTGAAACATTAGATCAAAGCTTGCTTAAGTACAAGGCTTACTTGACGGAATAAAGATTAGCTGCAATACTATCAGCTGCTTTGTCACGAATCCATGTCTTGCCACTGTTTGTGGTTTTCAACAAAACCCCACTCCCACCAGCTGCCCAAGCCTCATCCTGTAAAAATTAAATTTATGGTTGCCACTGTGTTTAGATTGAAGAAAGAGGAAGCTATGCACTAAGATGCTAGGACAACTAGATCTAGTGTCAACCTGTCATCTTGCATAAAACACAATAGTAGTTTCAGCTAAAACCTTTCCTTTTTTCTTTTTTTTTTATTTTTCTTTTGACTTTCTTCTATTTCCTCCTCTGCATCATTTTTCTTTTTCTTTTTATGCTTTAGCATTTTGTTATACCCATATGAATAGTCATCTCAAATCTACTAAAGACATATCTGCATGCCACTCAATAAGAACTACACTCACTAAAAAAAGGGACCTCTTATCTAAGGGACTCATTTTACCTGTGAGCGATAACCAACATCAAGAATGCCAAAACCACGACTCTGCACAGGAATTTCTTCAAAATCCTCCGTTATCTAGAAAGAAAAGATGCCTGAGCCTCAATGAATGATAACAGAGAACTGGATAGAACAATCTTACTACTCATCAACATAAAAAAAAAAAAAAAAAAAAAAAAAAAAAAAAAAACAAAAATAAAAAAAAATAGAAAAAAAATCAAACTATTTGTTAAACAATGAACTCAACTTGTATATTTCTATATGTTTTGTGTATATGTAAAGGAAGTGTAGAGCTATTTATACAAGACAAGAGCTAATCCTAGCCATAGATTTCAAACACCTAAACCTAAGGGCTAAGAGAGATCCTCTCAACTAACACCCTATTCCTCTAACACTCCCCCTCAAGTTAGAGCATCCAACTTGTTACATATGTATCACATGAACCATAGGACTCCACACCTAGACTCATAACTTCCAAGGCTAACAAGTCTTGAACCACTCGAACAACCCTCGAACCACGCTGTGCCAAACCAGTCCACAACGCACCTTGTCGCACCAACAACGCTTCTACGGAGCCAACAAAAGCTAGGCCAATCACCACAGCGCTGCACCTGCCTCTCACACCCCACACCCTTATCACCTTTGCCTAACACCACAGCCCGTACCTGCCTCACTCCACAAACCATTAGCGCTGCTAGACCACAGTGCACCTGTCCCTCTAACCATGCACCCTTATCAACGCTGCCTAAAACACCACAGCATTTCCCTGGTGCTGCACGTAAACCGATTCACTCTGAATCATTCTTCAGCCGTCGACCTCCCCCGCGGCATATGCCAGGTCCGCCCCACTCCTGGCACCTGTGCTGCCCACTCCTGCAGCACCCCTATTTACGCACACTAAACAAGTTGCACTTGACTCAACTCAGACCCTAGAATTGCTCCCATACCAAATTAATTTAAAACGAGCGACAAACTATGACAAACCAAACACAAAGCTCAAGACTTCTTTTTTTGAAAACCAAAGCTCAAAGACTTATTAATACGATAAACAAAAGAACCTACTGCCTACGTCATTTTTTATTTGTAGCCATGAAACCACCCAGCTTCATGGACCTACCCTACCATCTTTCTCTCAGTCGTCTCTCTCGCTGGTTCCCCTCCATCTCTCTCGACCAGCAGCAATTCCTCCTACGCGCAGCTCCCTCCGGCGACCTCTGTTTCTTCCCGGCGTGCACAACAGATCCGGTGAGCTTGGAAGCTCCTCTCGGCGAACTCTGCTGCCTGTGTTGCTTGATGAAATGGGCTCACCAACATGTTTTGCCGGAAATGACCTCACGCGCCTCCACCACCACCCCAGGCCTCTTGGCTCACTGAGACGAGCCCGCCGGTACCAGCCTCGACCGGAGAAGATGCCAGAACAGTGCGCACGCACCGGCGCGTGGCGTCGGAACACTAGGACTACGCCGACGCGTGAGAACTCCGGTAGCTGCTTCGCTTCTCCCGACGGCGCCGTCCCTCTTTCCGACCAAAGCCCACTACCCAGTCACCTCAATCTCGCTCTGATACCAAGTTAAACAATGAACTCAACTTTTATATTTCTATATGTTCTGTGTATATGTAGGAACTAGGAAGTGTAGAGCTATTTATACAAGACAAGAGCTAATTCTAGCCATAATTTCAAACACCTAAACCTAAGGCTAAGAGAGATCCTCTCAACTAACACCCTATTCCTCTAACACTATTCATCTAAAAAATCTGATAACATTCTTAGAAGAAGCAAATACAGCAAGCTAATTTACAAATTATGAAATAAATATCATGAACATCCAAATTAACTAAAATGAAATCCTATATCAAGCAATTGGTTTATTTCTACACTCATGAAGTATTAACTTAGGCTGAATAAATATCAAGAGAAGGTTCTACTATCTTTATGAAATTTTCCAGTGTGTGTGTGTGTGTGTTTGTACATAATATGCCCAATAGAGTTTGAAGAGTGACAAAAGCTTAAGGTATCTAATGCCAAGTATAAGAATTGTTGGCAAACATCATAGACTAGCTATTTTCTAAAGGTGATTTGGTAATGTCCTATCTACACAAAGAATGGTTTCCAACTAGAAATTTTAACAGGTTGAATAAGAAGAAGATTGATCACTGTCCAATCCTGGAAAAGATCAATGCTAAACCATATGTGTACCGTCCTGACGGGTCTAGGCATTTCCCCTATATTAATGTTGCAGAATTTCGAATATTATTCACTAGATGACCCCCTATTCAGAATCCTTGAGATAAATCTTTCAGAAGTGAGGAAGACTGATTTTCAGAAACCAATTAATCTACTTCAAGAAATGAAATCCAATGTGAAGTCAAAGAACCCCAAGGATGTGAAGCCCATGGAAGGATCCTAGAAGTCCTAATCTATAAAAATCTAGTTTAATAAACAAAGTGAAAATCATGTCGTGGAGAAGTATACAGCTTAAAGTATTTTTGTAATCCTAGCCATTGCAACGTTTTCAAAGTTCGATACAATATAAATCTACACATAGGTGATAGGTCCCTTATAATTTTTCTTCTGGCAGGGGAGAATATTTAGTTTTAGCAAATCAGGAAATGCAACACCTTAGGATGGGCTGAAGGCATAGGAGCTTTACTTATTATGCCAGTTGAGGTGTGGATTTCAGAAAAAGAAAATACATTATGTAAATTTTATTTGGACTAAATTTTTTTGTTCTCAAACCTCAATGCAGTGTGCCCATTGTTATTCATATAATAAATGTTGCTTTTTCACCATTTTTTCATGCTAAAATATTAAACTAGCATAAGGAGATACGTTTATGGTTAAAATTCAAAGGAAAAACTCTTGCATTTACTTACCCCTGTTCCTTTGCTAAGATATAATCCTCCACCACGGACTAGTAGCCAAAGGCCACCATCAGTTCTCCAGCCCATGTTTTGGATTCTTCTAGCCACAGCCCTATTATGTGGCTGCCAGAATGGCTGCAATGATTTACATATAGGAAACATCTCATTATCATACTAAAGCAGTTAAGTTCCAGCTTACCAACAAAGCAATAAAAGTGTATATTATACTAGTGTGTTCTGTTCTCTTTCTTTATTTTCATTTTTCAACAAATGGAACTAAAGGAAACAGGAGGCAATAGGAGCTATGAGTAAATGAACCAGTAAGGTACAAACAATTTGCTGTAAGCAGGTCCATCCACGGATTCATGTGACCACGGGCCCACACAAAAGATTAAAAAGAAGTGAGAAGAACCTCACCTGCCCTGGCTCCCAGGTCAAATAGAAGTTACCACGGCTTGACACAGCAACATAACGTCCATCAGGGGAACGGTTTACAGTACTAAATGTTCCTGTATAGTAGCTAGCTCCACTAATACCACTAGAAACTGTTCTGCAATTAAGTTGGGGCATGTGAATATCATTTTAAAGTGTTATATATATATATATATATATATATATATATATATATATATATATATATATATATATATATAGAGAGAGAGAGAGAGAGAGAGAGAGAGAGAAAGAGACATTATACTCTTCCAGATATGAATCTTAATTTAATCATTTAGCCATACAATAATTATAGTAATGGAAGAATTCATTCTAACAATTTACTTCCCCTGTTCCACTTACTGAAAGAACTTTTAGCTGAAACACTACGAATGATGGAAGAATGATTGAATTCATACCATCATGAAGCTTAGTCCCAACCGCTTTCTGCACGAAAGTATCTCAAAAAGACCTCGGTGGCCTAAGAAAGCAGCTTAGCTACACTATGAGCCTGTGCCTAGTACCACAGCATTCGTAAAGGTATAGAAAAAACAATTCTATAGATTCTGACTTACATTCAGCAACTAACCTTGAAAACTTAATTTGTGTATGAAGTTTCTTTAGTTCATTTTCCATGAAACTTTCTAATTTTGAAACTTCTAGAAACTCAATAACTTAAGTACAAAAATTTCACAGAAATGCTGCCTATGAACTATGAAGTTACTTCAATAGGTAGAGGAAAATATGTTGAACTTGTATTGTAAGAAATGACCCTGTTACTCTGTTAGTGAATCAGCACGAGCAAAGTATAACCAATGATAAAAGGATTACAAAAAATCCATTATTTATGAAAGATAGGTTTTGATGGCATAAGGTTCACCAATAGCTCTATAATGCCAAAAGTTATAAGAGTAGTACTGTCAGTACTCAAACAATGTGTTAAACACATAACCTGTGAATTTGAACTCAAACTAGTTGGGAGTCCAAAATTATATTTGTCAATGGGTTACCTATTCAGTGTAGCAGAAACAGTTTCTTGCACAGCAGCCCTCCAGTTGTATCCCTTATTTGATGTAAGATATATAGCACCTTCATCAGTTACCATTTCTGCACTGTTTTCACCTGTAGCTTGTATATATACCTGCAAATAAAACATAAATGATTTCTTTGAGATGAATGGAATTCAGAAAAATATAACAGAACTCACAAAAGTAAAGAGTCCATTCATTGTCCTTACTCCTTAGCTTCCCAGGTTAAGTTTCCAGCAATTTCAATGGACAAATCTTAAGGTGCTACATTCAAGAACCCCAAGATATAATAATAACAACAGCAACAAGCAATAGTGATAACAATACAAATTCAGGAAATTCTCAGCTTTCAGTTAGTGCAAATCAAGCAATGATGTGAACATTGTATGTCATAGTGTGTAAAGATCTCATAAGATAACAAATTATGGACTTCACATCTATTCTAACTCTCTATCACAATAATCTTTCAACTTGTGTTTTAGATCATTCACAAAGGTAATTTTATTGAGAGTTGCAAGAACAATGTGGCTCTTAGACTTGTCAATAGTTGCAACACTGAAACTGGTTTTCTGACCAAATAACATCCCCATAAACAGACATCTCAATTTTTTCAAGTTCTTTCTCATTGAAATCTGTCACAAGAATAGCCTTTCAATTCCATAGCTTCAACCTCAACCTTGTTTGCAGAACTTGACAATTTCCTGCCATACACTCACCAACTTTTGCGAAGGGAAGGATGTGATTGTATGCAAAGGAGTAAAAGTACAGCCTACTACTTTCATATAAATTTCAGCAGGCTGTTATAGATATGAGAGATCTCCACACTGAACAACTGAATTGATGTGCACAGAAGTTGGAGGTTAAATGTAAACATGTATATCAGACCAGACATAATTTAAGGAAGACGATGAAAAATATTTCTTCAAATCAAAGCAATTCACATTCTTAGAGCCATGTGTCTTTTGTAGTAAGAGTTACAACCAGCTACCTACCAAAGATATTGCAGTACAACAATGATGAAGCAGACAACTGCTCAAACATGGAAGGAGTTGTGGAAGAATTGTATACCAAACTAAGTCGGAAAGGCATACTCTTATTAATCCTAATGTTAAGTTACAAGTGTTTCCAAAGTTCAATGACTAAATGAATACCATGCAAAGCTAAAATACTTTATATATAAAAGTTAAACCTCTCATCCAGGACCATTAAGGAAGAAAATACCAAAAAACGTTAGGACAGATTAGCAATTCAAGAATAGGACTCCCTTTCAAAAAAAAAAAAAAAAAAAAAAGAATAGGACCCTATATTTAAAATTGCAAAAAAAAAAAAAAAAAAAAAAATTTGGCCAGCTAAAAATTGGGATGACTGGCAGGAACTCACAGAAGTTCCCAACATAAAAGCTACCTTAACCCCTAAAGAATTGCAAAGTTTTAATTTAGTGTGTGCAACTTCATGAAAGAAATAGTACAAGTCATATGCTATAAGTCTATAATGTTATTTTTGGACACTCTTGTCTTCAAGAACTAAACTGTTCAGACAGCATCATATACACAGTTAAACTTCAATCTAATAGCTAACATTACAAGTAAATTCCTTTAAATATGTTATAGAATATTCTGTGTGATTGAGTATCCTATATTTTAGGAAACTAGAATATTAGCATACCATATCAGTCTAGATCAAGCTAGTATTTAAGGGGAGGTTGACTAACCCTAAAGACATACAGAAAGAGGGAGAACTCTCAAAGAGGTATTCTTTTTCTCTCCCAGTACTCTAACATGGTATTAGAGCCACTTCAATAAATTTTTTTTCCGTCGATCTCCTGTCGTCACAGCCGGTTCAGAAGGGTCCGCCGGAGTCCGGCGACCACAGCTGCAGAAGTTTCCCGACGAACTGCCCTGCGCGTGGGCCTCACGCGCCACCTTCGCCGCCGCCACCCCCTCCACGCGCCGGCGCGTGGGCCGTCTCCGGCCACCGGAAAAATTTTCCGACGACAGTTTCTGGGTCGCCTAAGTCCCCTCTTCTCAGTTCTGGACTTAGTTTGGACCATCGCCGCTCCGGTTCTAAGGTTAGGTTGTTTCGTACCCCTCCAGGCTCACTTTTAGGCATAAATTCTGGTCTGTTTGGGCTCAAATATTTGTGGGTATGGCTGAGAATAAGTCTGTGGTTGTTACTGATATAGTTCCTGTTAGTTCTAAAATCACGGATTGTAAGCTTAATGACTCTAATTACTTGGAATGGATTCATGTCGTTAAACTTTATCTTACTAGTTTGGATAAGAGTGACCACTTGTCCAAACCTTTGGCTGACCAAGATGCTTCTTGGGTTTGAGATGATGCCCGTTTGTTCCTACAAATCCGTAATTCTATTGATGAGGGTGTTGTTGGGTTCATTAGTCATTGTGCCTCTGTTAAGGAGTTAATGGAGTATTTGGAATACTTGTATGCTGGAAAGGGGAATGTCACTCGAGTTTATGATGTTTGCAAGTCTTTTTTCCGTGCTGAAAAACGTGATTTGTCTCTCCCTGCATACTTTATGGAATTTAAGAAGACTTTTGAGGCACTTAATCAGCTTATGCCATTCACTGCTGACATTAAAGAGCAGCAAACCCAACGTGAACAGTTGGGTGTTCTGAGTTTTTTGGCAGGTCTCCCTTCTGAGTATGACACGGCGAGGTCTGCAATTCTTAGTAGCTCTGCAATCCCTTCTCTTGCTGATGTTTTCCCACGTCTAAGTCGATCGGTGCAATCGCAACCAAATGTGCTTGAGGCTACTATCCCGTCAAACAATGCTCTTGTTGGCCGTCATCCTCGCAGTGGGAATGGTAAAAATTCTCAGGGATACACTTCTGGTGGTATTGTGTGTCATTATTGCCATAAGCCTGGCCACATAAAAAGGGATTGTCGGAGATGGTTGAGGGAACGAGGAAATCCGACTGCTAATGTTGCATCCACCGCTGAGGCGTCTTCCAAGACGGTCACTGTCTCTGCTGATGAGTTTGCTGAGTTCTCTCAGTATCGAGAATCTTTAAAGCGTTCATCCTCCTCTTCAGTCACTGCTATTGCTGACTCAGGTAATGCAACTACGTGCCTTCTCTCATCCTCCTCCAAGTGGGTTATAGACTCGGGTGCCACGGATCATATGACAGGTAACTCTAGTTTGTTTTCCACACTTTCTTCTCGCCCACATAGTTCCCCCGTCACCTTAGCAGATGGTTCTACCTCCCATGTTCTTGGGTCCGGTACCATTACGCCCATCCCCTCGCTCCCCTTGTCTTCTGTCTTGCATCTACCTAACTTTTCGTTCAACTTAATTTCAGTCAGCCAGCTTACCCGTACTTTAAACTGTTATGTTACGTTTTTCCCTGATTATTGTCTGTTTCAGGATCTTTTGACGAAGAGGGTTATTGGTAAGGGGCGCGAGTCTGGGGGCCTCTACGTTCTTGACACCACGAGGCGAGAGCTTATTGCTTGTTCAGGTGCTGTCACTCCAGTAGAAGCTCATTGTCGTTTGGGGCATCCTTCCCTTCCCTTGTTGAAGAAATTGTGTCCGCAGTTTTCTAGTTTGTCTTCTTTACATTGTGAGTCGTGTCAGTTGTCCAAGCACCATCGTGTGCCTTTGAGTCCTAGAGTTTACAAACGAGCGTCTGCTCCTTTTGAGTTAGTACATTCTGATATTTGGGGTCCATGTTCTGTGACCTCTAAACTTGGTTTTAAATATTTTGTTACGTTTGTTGATGATTTTTCCCGAATAACATGGTTATATCTAATGAAGTCTCGTTCTGAACTTTTTGAGGTGTTTTGTGGATTCTGTGTTGAAATTGAGACTCAATTTGGTGTTCCTGTCAAAGTTTTACGTAGTGACAATGCAAAAGAATATTTTTCTTTTCCCTTTGTCTCTTATATGCGTAAGAAGGGTATGTTACATCAGTCCTCTTGTGTTGATACACCTTCCCAAAATGGGGTCGCTGAACGCAAAAATCGGCATCTGCTTGAAACTGCAAGGGCCTTGATGTTTCAAATGGGGGTTCCCAAGCAGTTTTGGAGTGATGCCGTTTCCACAGCCTGTTTCTTGATTAATCGGATGCCCCCTGCGGTCTTGGGTGGGAAAACACCTTTCCATACTCTGTATCCTTCAAAGCCTATGTTCCATGTTGACCCGCGTATATTTGGCTGCGTGTGCTTTGTTCGAGATGTCCGTCCCCATGTCACCAAGTTAGATCCCAAGTCTTTGAAGTGTGTGTTTCTTGGATATTCCCGTGTGCAGAAAGGGTATCGGTGTTACTCTCCTGAGCTTGGTAGGTACCTTGTTTCCATTGATGTTGCCTTTCATGAGGACGTCCCTTTCTTTCCTTCATCCCCAGATGCTGTTCGTAAGGGGGAGGAGGATGATATATTGATGTATACGGTAACGTCGTCTGTTCCTTCCCCTGTTCCTACCCCTCCTGTCTTGCAAGTGTATTCTCGTCGACCTCGACTTGACACACTCGTACCGGCACCGCCTCCCATTCCAGACTCGGTACAGACTCCGTGCCCTGACACCACCTCTATGTCATCAGATCCAGTCTTAATTGATGACCGTCCGATTGCCACCCGGAAAGGTAAACGTACCTGTACTTATCCTATATCCTCTGTTGCATCATATGATAGGTTGTCACATGCCTCGTGTTCTTTTATTGCTTCCCTTGAGTCTATTTCCATTCCTAAGACTGTTAGGGATGCCTTGTCCCATCCTGGGTGGCGAAATGCTATGATTGAGGAGATGAACGCTTTGGATCACAATGGTACTTGGGAGTTGGTCACTATGCCTGCGGGTAAAAGATCTATTGGTTGTAAATGGGTGTTTACTGTCAAAGTTAATTCTGATGGGTCTGTGGCTCGATTGAAGGCTCGTCTTGTGGCTAAGGGATATGCCCAAACTTATGGAGTTGATTATTCTGACACTTTTTCTCCTGTGGCTAAGCTTACTTCTGTCAGGTTACTCATCTCAATGGCTACCATTCATGATTGGCCTTTGCATCAGCTTGATATCAAGAACGCCTTTTTGCATGGGGATCTTCATGAAGAGGTGTACATGGAGCAACCTCCTGGGTTTGTTGCTCAGGGGGAGTCTGGGAAAGTATGTCGTCTTCGGCGATCGTTGTACGGGCTGAAACAAAGTCCACGTGCATGGTTTGGAAAATTTAGCCAAGTTGTTGAGAAGTTTGGGATGGTGAAAGGCAAATCGGATCATTCCATGTTCTACAAGTGGTCCAAAACAGGTATCATCTGGTTGGTGGTTTACGTAGATGACATTGTCATTACAGGGAGCGACACCGAAGGGATTTTGTCTCTCAAGTCATTTCTTCACAGTCAATTCCAAACGAAAGATTTGGGACCACTAAAGTATTTCCTGGGTATTGAAGTTATGAGGAACAAAACAGGTATATTACTCTCCCAACGAAAATATGTTATTGACTTACTTTCTGAAACAGGAAAACTAGGTACTAAACCATGCAATACTCCCATGATACCGAACTTGCAATTGTCAAAGGAAGGGGAATTGTTTGAAAATCCTGAGAGGTATAGGAGATTGGTTGGGAAGCTAAACTACTTGACCGTAACCCGTCCAGATATTGCATACCCAGTTAGCGTTTTGAGTCAGTACATGTCATCTCCAACTATTGATCACTGGGCAGCTGTAGAGCACATCTTGAGTTACTTAAAGGGAGCTCCGGGACACGGAATTTTGTATAAGAATCACGGTCACACTCGGATTGAGTGTTTTACTGATGCGGATTGGGCAGGTTCCAAAGAGGATCGTAGATCAACAACTGGATATTGTGTTTTCTTTGGAGGTAATCTGGTTTCCTGGAAGAGTAAGAAGCAGAATGTAGTCTCTCGTTCGAGTGCAGAGTCTGAATATAGAGCGATGGCACAATCAACGAGTGAAGTAATGTGGATACACAACCTTTTGTATGAGTCTGGTTTCAAAGCTCCAATTCCTGCAAAGTTATGGTGTGATAACCAAGCTGCTCTTCATATTGCATCAAACCCGGTGTTCCATGAACGAACTAAGCACATAGAGATTGACTGTCATTTTGTACGTGAGAAGATACAACAAGGGTTAATCTCCACAGGATTTGTGAAGACAGGAGAACAACTTGGGGACTTATTCACGAAGGCCCTTACTGGAACCTGAGTCAGTTATTTGTGTAACAAGTTGGGCATGATCAATGTCTTTGCTCCAACTTGAGGGGGAGTGTTATAGAATATTCTGTGTGATTGAGTATCCTATATTTTAGGAAACTAGAATATTAGCATACCATATCAGTCTAGATCAAGCTAGTATTTAAGGGGAGGTTGACTAACCCTAAAGACATACAAAAAGAGGGAGAACTCTCAAGAGGTATTCTTTTTCTCTCCCAGTACTCTAACAAAATAGAAAATTAAAACATAAAATGGTGGTAACAAACAAAATCCAGGGTATCTCCTTACCATATCACCAGGTAGCTGAGAACTTAATGGTATTCGCTGCCAGGTTTCCCCAGCATCAGAAGTGTGCAACAAGATGGCTGGTTTTCCAACAATCCACCCCTCCTTCCCTTTGAAGCTTATTGCATTAAACCGATAATTGAAATCTTCCTCCTCAGCTGAGGAAATAGATCGTGAAACCCAAGTGTTTCCTCCATCTTTAGTTTCCAAAATTGTTTGTCTAGTCCCCAATAGAAAGCCTGATAAGATTAATATTCACCAGCAACTAAATTAAACTTCAGAATCAAATTATCACAACTCTACTCATTGGTAATGCATTCATCCCTATATATAACTTCATAAATAATTATACACACAGGACATAAACCTGATATGCAGGATATGCATAGAACATCAAATAGGTTCATGGCATACAAATGACTGATAACTGTTCAAAGATAATAATAACTAAATTTGGAACTACAAAGAATATATTATGTTACACAAAATGCAGCTTCTACTTAAAAATTATAATTCACTAGAGAATATTAAATTTCTTTTTACTAGATTACTTAAGAAGAAATTTCTTTTTCCCCTCAAAAACACAAAATATTTTCCCCTTGCCTTTAAAATGCAGGAAAAAAATCCAGAAAATTTAAAAAGGAAAAAGAAAATCCTCCTTGCTGCAAAGGTGCATAACATTCACGAAAACACTGCTGAAACCACATGAACTGTCGGAGAAAATGAGAGAAACTTCGACGCATTATACTTTCAGTTACGGCAACAAGCTAAAACGGACCGTGATTGGGGTCGTCCGGTACGAAAGCGATGTCGAGAAGCACGACGCCGGGGTCGATAGGCAAGTAAACCCTCTCCCACTCCGACAGCGGCTCGTCGGCAGCTCTAGCCGGGCAGAGGCCAACCAAAGGCGAGAGAGAAACTGCAGCAGCAGACTCGGCAATCAAACGCCGGCGACTGAGAGACGCTGCGACAACCAGACGCTGGGAAAGGCGGCGGCTGGTGGCAGGGGTGGAAGCTCGGAAATGTCGGCGTAAAATGGCGGAGCCGTGGCTGTGTAGAGAGGGCTCGAGAGGAGCGCGGAAGGGGTTGGAGCAGTCGGTGAGCACTCGAGGAGACGCCATTGGTAGACAGACCCTTTAGCTTGTTTCTGCTATGCTAGTCTGTGTTTGTGCGTGTCTTATCCGAAACAGAAAGGAAATCGTGGTTGGTTTCATCTTAACGGCTTCGCGGGAGGTTTAAAGCTACGCGCCTGCGCGTCTACAAAACTCATTGCTATACGCCTATACTAGTGGTCGAAAATCAATATTTGATGATTCCGCAAATGTTAACGGAATTTTTTTCTTTTTTTTTTGGAAAAATAAAAATTATTGTATTCAAATGTAAACATTTTTCGAAATGAAAGAAAAAAAAAACATGGTTTTCCATAGAACTTACTTTTATAAATAAAATTAGAAAATATTTCTTTATAATTTTCGTATTGCAAAAGGGATAAAGGATCAAATAAATTTTTTTTTTCAAAAATTTTAAGTGATCATTAAATTGAAAAAATAATTTTACATAAATGGTCAAACTCAAAACATTCATAGACTTTTATCAACTTTTTATTTTAAAAAGTCTACAAAAGTCATTAAAATTTTAAATTGAATACATCCTTACAAACTTTCAATGATTTTGATTCTTATCATTTATAATTTTCTTACAAAATATTTATAATCTATCATAAAATTTTCTTATTATGTAGTTCTTCACTCACATCAACATTCTCAACATTATTATTTTTATCCATAGTATGTTGAAACTTATATGCTAATTACTTATATATATTATTAATAAACATCAAGAAAAAATTACTTCATTAGAAATTCATAACAATATTGAATAATAAAATTTATAATAAAATAATTGATCAAATAAAATTTTTAAAAATATAATTACAAGTTGTATAAAATAAAAATAAAAAATCTAATATTATATATATTGATGGGGTGAGGACCCCGGCCCAAGAGATAGGGGCCCAAAGAAAATAGATAGGAGAACTGGGCCAACGTCGAGAGGAGCCCGAAGAGCAATTGGGCCAAGTCTGGGAGTCGGCCCAGGCCCAAGCACGGGGCCCAGTTCAGAGCTGCTAGGAGGAGTCCAGTAGGAGCTTAGGTCGAGACAAGGAGTCGGCCGAGACCCAAGCCCAGGAAAGGACTTGGCTCAAGGAGCCGTTGAGAGCATTGAAGAGGTTCGTTTAAAAGGGAGCCATTACGACATTGAAAGCAGGATTCGGTCGGGCCGTTACAAGCTTGGGAGAGCCGTTGGTCGACCGAGTAATGGCGTCCAACGGCTCCGTATCTTAATTAGCCTTGAAGTCGGCCATTAAAGGCCTTCAAATCGGTAGAGGAGGAGCCTTCTCCTCCATTCTTGTAAAAGGACAGACAATTGAACACCCAAAGGGGGAGAATACCGAAAAATTCCGAGTACTGGCATAATCTCCGAAATAGACATACATTTTACTGAAAGGTGCACCCACCAGCCAAAGGTTGTGTTGGACTTCCTTGGGCCCGAAAATCCTAAAACCATCACTGGCGCCGTCTGTGGGGATCGAACTAAGAGTTACGTGTCCTCTTGAGTGAGGCGAGTCCGAGGAACGACAATTAGAATCCTAGTCGAATTAGAAAAGCTCCAGACATGGCAGGAAGTGAAGAACAATCGAGCCGTCATGACAATGGACGGGAAGCAGACCTGAGAAGCCAGCTGAATCGGAGAAATGCCCGGAGCCGGGAAAACGAAACAACACCGCCGTCGACACCACCGATAAACCAACAATTGCCCCAAGTGCTGCTCACCCCAGAGCAGCTGCGTGCAATCGGACGCGCCTGCGCCGAAGCGAGCCTAGGAGTGAGAGAACAGTCCATCACTCGCCAGCCGCAACGCGAGTTACAGCCGCTTCATAGGCCCAACAACCGGCAACAGAGCCGACGGGCCGAAAGCCAACCGGTACAGTCCGTTCATTCTCGGCTGGGTCCCAGCGTTGGGCGTCGGTTGGCAAGAGAACGATTGGGCCGGATGGAACCCAGTCATGCCCCGTTAGCCGCTCGCCATCGACAAGCTGCACGAGAAAAGAACCGTACCAAAAGAGCCAGGACTGAGACTCGTCGCGTGGAGCAACCTCCACGCAACCCCGACCAACCGGCTGAGTCTGAAATCGGTGAGAGCACGGAATCCACAGGAAATCGCACCCGGGAGAGGGTCGAAGTGGCGAACTTAGTGCAAGAAGTGCGAAATCTGAAAGAACAGATGGAGGGGAAAACCAAATCCCCGGGACGTACGTTACTGACCGCCTTACCTTTCTCGGACGAGGTTATGGCTTTTAAAATACCGGGTGATTTCAAGTTCCCAGAGCAGGCCACGTTCGATGGAACCAGCGATCCCCGGGAGCATTTGCTGAGCTACCAGGCTAAGATGCAGGTTTTGGGGGTACGAGATCCGGTCATGTGCCGCGCTTTCTTGCCCACGTTGAAAGGGTCAGCACAAAGGTGGCTAGTGGCACAGCCCTCGGGATCGATTCACAACTTTGAAGAGCTGGCAGACCGCTTCATGAGCCATTATGCCGCTAATATCAAACCACAAAAAGACCTGACACACTTGGGCGACATTCGTCAAGATGAAGGCGAGTCCTTGAAAGCCTATCTGGCCCGCTGGCAAAAAGAAATCCAGTCCATAGAGGAGGTCGAGGACCAGACGGCGCTCACCTTCTTCATCGAGTCCTTGCGGTCCGGCCAGCTATATCGAGACCTGAGGGACAACCGCCCGGCCACCTACGCAGAAGCCATTCATATGGCCAACAAGAGAGCCAACACGGAGCAGGCTATGAAGTATAAGCGGCAGTGCGAAGTCGGCGAATCCGCCAGCGGGAAGAGGACGCGAGTTGAAACCAAGGAGAGGCGCCCGGACGTAGCTCGGCGACCCGAGGGCAGACGGCCGTACGACAGACCCGTCGTCCACGCTTATCGGCCGATTCCCGAACGTCCGGTCCATGAGATACAAACGGTTGCCCCGCCTCTGCCTCCGCCGACCGACGATCGCCCGACGAACGAAGAAATAGGTAAGACCTCTAAGTATTGTCGTTATCATAAATCTTATACTCACAGCACGGAGGAATGCTTCTACCTAAAGAAGATCATGGAGGGTATCATTCAGCAAGGAACCCCGCCTCCTAATCAGTGGAGGCGAAGATCGGTCAATCGAGGGGATGAGGATCCCGCCGCCGTTGCCGAAAACAGTCGAGGCAAGCAGCCGACTCCCGAAGAGGAGGAGGCTCAGTGGCGTCAGAAGCTGGTTATCAACATGATAGTCGGCGGGCCGGAAGGTGGTGACTCAACGAACACCAGAAAAGCCTGGGCCCGCCAGTTATACGTCGGAACTGTGTACGGGAGCGAGGAGAACCCTAAAAAGGTGTGCCGAGAGCCCATTATGTTTACCGACCGAGATTTACCAGCCGGTGAAACACCGCATCGAGATGCGTTGGTTATAGCTATGGACCTCAATGGCGTTGTCGTTCGACGAATCCTGGTGGATACCGGAAGCAGCGTCAATGTGTTGTACCTAGAAACCTTCATTAAAATGGGAATGACTCAGGAACAGCTGAGTCCTGTCAAAACTCCCCTCGCCGGTTTCACAGGGGACTCGGTGGAGGCGGAAGGATCGATCACACTTCCAGTTGAGATCGGCAGTTACCCAGACGTACAGAGACTCAGCATGAAGTTCATTGTGGTGAATCTGGCCTGTTCACATAACGCTATACTCGGCCGACCGGGTCTCGAGGATCTAGGAGCGTTGATTTCAATTGAGCATCTTTGTTTAAAATTCCGCACGCCAAACGGAATAGGCATGCGCTGTGACCGTAAGGTCGCTCGCGACTGCTACCTACAGGCATGTAAGGGGATGGGCAAACGCGAGATACAGGTCCATGAGATCACCGAGAGGCCCCCAAAAAGGACGATAATACCACGTCCGGAGCCTGCCGTCGAGTTGGAAGAAGTCGAGATCGACTCCACGCAGCCGGACCGACGAGTCCGAATTGGAGTCGGCCTCCCCGAGGAAGTAAAGGAAGAAATTATAAAGGTGCTCCGGGAACACCGGATGGTCTTCGCCTGGTGCCCGGAGGACATGCCCGGCGTCGACCGATCGATCATATCGCACAGACTCGCTGTGGATCCCGGGCATCGACCGGTTGTGCAGAAGAAGCGATACCTGGCCAACGACCGAAGAGAATTTGTGAAGAAGGAAGTGAGCACGCTACTCGCAGCTGGACACATCCGCGAAGTTAAGTACCCGGAGTGGTTGGCGAATGTGGTCCTTGTACCCAAGCCCCCGGCGTGGCGGATGTGCGTGGACTACACCGACCTTAATAAGGCCTGCCCAAAAGATCCGTTTCCCTTACCGCGGATCGACCAACTGGTCGACGAGACGGCAGGGTCGGCGCTGTTGAGCTTTATGGACGCCTTTAGGGGGTACCATCAGATATTCATGCATACGGCGGACGAAGAAAAGACCGCGTTTTTGACACCGGACGGAGTTTATTGTTACCGAGTCATGCCCTTCGGGCTCAAGAACGCCGGAGCCACGTATACCCGAATGGTGGCCCGATTGTTTCAGCACCTGCCGGGAAAATCGATGGCCGCGTACGTCGACGACATGCTCGTCAAGAGCCGAGAGGAGAGCAAGCACGCAGAAGACTTGGCCGACTGCTTCAAAGTAATGTTAAGGTACAACCTCCGACTGAACCCTAAGAAATGCGCGTTCGCCGTGCAAGGTGGAAAGTTCCTAGGTTACATGGTCACCAAGCGAGGTATCGAGCCTAACCCTGAGAAAGTACGGGCCATCGTCGACATGCAGCCTCCCAGCACTATAAAAGACCTGCAACGGCTGACCGGCCGATTGGCCGCCCTTAGCCGCTTCCTAAGCAAGGCGGCAGATAAGACCGTGCCCTTTTTCGAAGCCATGAAGAAGAAGGAAGGATTCGCTTGGACCCCGGAGTGCCAGCAGTCGTTTGAAGAATTGAAACAATACCTCTCGACACCCCCGGTATTGTCTACCCCCCAGGCGGGCGAGCCCTTGTTTCTGTACTTAGCCGCCTCTTGCAAGGCGGTGAGTTCGGTGTTGGTCCGAGAGGAAGAGCGAGTCCAGCACCTGGTTTACTACGTAAGCTGGTCTCTGAAGGCT